CTGGGGATTCGAACCCGCCACCTTAGGTGTATGTGGCTGGTGCCTTAGCCGCTTGAGCCACAGGCGCCGAGCCTATTTTTAATTTCTTAAGGAAATTTCAGGTCCTTTGCCCATTTTCTAATAGGGCTAATTGTATTTTGCTATTGAGTTGTAGGACCTCCTTGTACATTTTAGATATTAACCCCTTACCAGATAGAGTGACACACCGTATTTCATGTTCTATATAATGTGTAGTGACATGTGTGGTAGTGGTTCCTTAAGATTCTAATACTCTATTTTTACTGTACCTTTTCTATGTTTAGATACACAAATACTTACTGTATTTGTGAGTTGTAATACTATACAACTGTGTATAGTTGCTATAGTATTTAGTACAGTAACATGCTGTTACTGGTTTGTATATAGCCTAGGTGTGGAGAAGGCTGTACCACCTAGATTTAAGTATTTTCCATGATGTTCTCACAATGATGAAATGACACATTTCTTAGGATGTTTCTTGTCATTAAGCAATGCATGATATACATGGTTTGCAGATATTTTTTCCAGTTCTGTAGGTTACCTTTTATTCTGTTGATTATTTCCTTTGCTGTGCAGAAAGCTTATTAGCTTATAGTCCTATTGGTCTATCTTATTCTTGTTGCTTATGCTTTTGTTGTCATGTCCAAGAAATTACTGCCAAGTCCAATGTAAGAAGCTCATGTTTTCTTCTGTGAGTTTTGCAGTTTCATATCTGATCTTTAAGTCTTCAATCCATTTTGAGTTGATTTTTATATATGTTGGAAAGTAGAGTCTTGTTTCATTTTTTTCCATGCAAATATCCAGCTTTTCCAACACCATTATTGAGAGCACTATGCTTTCTTTATTTTGTGGTCTTGGTACTCTTTTTCAAAGACCAGTTGACTATATATATTTAGGTTTATTTCTGGGCCATTTTGTTCCATTGGTCTACATGTTTTTATGCCACTGTGCTGTTTTAACTGCCATAGCATGTAATATATTTTGAAGTCAGGAAGTGATTCTAGTTTTGTTCTTTTTACTCAAGATTGTATTATAGGCTATTGGGATCCTTTGTGTTTTCATATGGATTTTAGGATTTTTTTCTATTTCTGTAAAAATTTACATTGAGATCTTGATAGGAATTGCATTAAATTTATAGATTGATTCGGGTACTATGTACATTTTAATGATACTGTGTTTTCTAATCCATGAACATAGGCTATCTTTCTATTTGTCTTCTTTAATTTTGTTCATCAGTGTTTATAGTTTTTAGTTTATTCCTGTGTATTTTATTCTTTTTGATGCTATTATAAATGGGTTTGTTTTCTCAGTTTCCTTTTTGGTTTTTTTTGTTTGTTTGTTTGCTTATTTTATTTTATTATTATTATTATTATTTTTTGAGACAGAACCTCAAGCTGTCCCCTGGGTAGAGTGCTTTGGCATCACAGCTCACAGCAACCTCCAACTCCTGGGCTCAAGCGAGTCTCCTGCCTCAGCCTCCCAAGTAGCTAGGACCACAGTCACCCGCCACAACGCCTGGCTATTGTTTTTTGGTTGCAGCTGTCATTGTTGTTTTTGGTGGGCCCAGGCTGGATTTGAACCCACCACCTTAGGTGTATGTGGCTGGCATCTTAGCCACTTGAGCCACAGGCACCAAGCCTCAGTTTCCTTTTTGGATAGATGTTAGTGTATAGAAATGCAACTGGCTTTTGTATGTTGATTTTGTATATGGTGCAACTGTATGTTTCAAAATCTTTATAGATGTTTAGGAACCATTTGTCTAAACATCTAATCAACATAAACAAGTACTTGTGGGAAATGTGTGTTTGGATAGTCTCTATAGAAGATATTTGGAATTGTACACCATTTTAAACTAACCTACTTAGAATAAATCTTTCCTCCCCCTCCCCCAGGAACGAATGATCACACACTTTGAAAGGTCCAAAATGGAGTAAAGAATGGGAAGATTTGCAGTTGAAGATGGCTAGTATCAGGGAAGAAATCAGCTTCTGTGTCAGTCTTCTACACTCCATAGGACTAAAGGAAGCAGTGACATCCTGATCTGTTCCTTGAACTTTGGGCATTGGAACTGGTGAGAGGCGTCAGAATGAGGAGAACATCTTACTGAAAACAAATTCATAGGATGAAAAAAATCTGCAAGCTTCTTATTTACAACATTGATGCCCCTTTCCCTCCCAAACCCTGACATGGATGTTTATGCAACTTACGTGTGTCGTTCCTGAAATTTCTATAATGTTTCAGTTGTTTAATCTGTCAAACTAAAATGTTTAACGTCTTCTAAAGGACTGTGTCATCAACACCATAATATGTAATCTCCAGGAGCAACTGCCTGTAAATCTTATTTATTTAGGGAGTTACATAGGTGATGGGGGAAATTGTAAATTACCTTTCATTTTCCTGGAAAGTCAAGGTTATATCTTGCAGAGGTAGTTCTGAGGAAAAAGGGCTCTTCCAAGTTAAGGAGCCATGGTTCTATTAATAATTAAAAGAAAAAAAGAGAAACTGTTACAGTGTGATGCAAATCATTTTAAAAAGTGAAATCAAGTGCAATTTTGTTTACAGATGGCATATATTAAAGATTTTTCTATTTCAGATGTACTTTAAAGAGTAATATTAGCTTAACTCTTTTGACATCTGCTATTGTGACACATCCCATTGCTGGCAATGTGGTGCACTTTTAACTACTGTTTTTGTAAGCCTCCAAGGGTGGCATTGGGAGTCCTAGGCAATGTTTTGTTTGCCTTCATGCCATTCACTGGGTGTGGCACTATATGCAGTGATTGCTCTACTGTGATTGAGCACCCTGCTAGAGAGTCTGTAATGCTTCAGAAGAAGGAGTTTCTACAAAGGAAACCAGTGCTGCTGGCTTAATTTAACAGTTACTCTAAGTAGTGTGGAGGCCCTGGACTGCTGCTCTTTCTTTAGGATTGACTGTTCTAATATCTGGTGTTGGTGTAAAGACTTGTTTGTAAGGAACATCACAAGGTGATGGGATTCATTTGAAACACTCTTTCTGTTTTACTGATTTTACTCAATTTTGCCTTCCCTAAGATTTTTGTTGTATGTAAAAAGTTCATGGCACTTTTTAATATAAAAAAATTTTAATGAAATGAATGTATTTTTCTTGTTTTTTTTTTCAAATTTTCTCTAAAGACCTTTCTTTCTTCCAGACACTCTTGTGAAAATTTTATTTGCGTGGGTTTTATTCTAGATTGTCATATTTTCTGTTGAAATCTGTGACTGTGTGACCGCAATATTCACAAACTCAGGGTAGTAAAAGTATTAACATTTAACTAGCTTGACTACAGCTCTTCTCTGAGGAACAATATGAAGAACTGACATCAGCAGAAGGGCTGCTGGTATTGACCTGTGCTGCCCCTACATACTAAACTGAGATGAGTAACAGTTATGATGCACGAGGATAGTTGGTCAGTTATTTTATGAGGGTGGTTTGATGTTTATTTGAGACTAGGGAAAAAAACTGTGTTAAGCAGGAATGTGTAGTACAAATTCTATAGCCTGGCACTTGATAATTCTAGTTAAATGGCTTCCTAGACTGCTGAGTTTGGACATCATGTGTCATTTCTTAGGAGTTTCAGAAAGAAATTATAGTTTCATACTGACCTATTACCTTAGAGTTTATATTGGTTTATTTTGGTCTTGGTTCTAGAACTAGGAGGTGTTAAACCTTCTTCCAGCACAATAGCTGGTAATTCTAAATTTTAGGAAGGTAATCAACTTCTATGGTGAAAATCAGCCATATCACAAGATTTGTTTAGTGATTTTTGTTTTTCTGACTCCTTGAAAATATACTTTTGATACAGCATTTGGTAAAGATGGGACAGTATCCCTAGTTTAGTTTACAGATGAAAAAACTGACATCTACAAATAAAGCCACCAGGACCAGATTTTTGACTTCATATCACCCTTTTCTTTCTACATTTTTGCTTTAAACCCCAGTGCTTAATTTTATGACTTAACCTGATGTCCTTTTTGGAGGAAGTTACCAGATACAGATTATTCTTGCAGTTCAAACTCAGCTTTGTTGTCTTATAAAGTCTCCAGGGGGAAATACTAAGGTAATCTCAGAATAGGACCTATAAGAGGAGAGAGCCACTTACCTTCCTAAAAGGAATATTAGGATGTAAGACACAATGTAGGTGAGTTGAATTTAATAGAAGGTGATCATAAATTTTAAAAGATATATTTTACTTCCAAGAGTTAGTGAATCAACTCTTACTGCCTAAATGTGGTCCAGAGAACAGTAACATCAGCAACACTTGGGAATTTGTTAGAAATGCTCAATTGAGGGCCCCCTTCCGGTCTTATTAAATCAAAATTTGCATTTTAACAACTTGTTACTGGGTCTGGCTGTCAGCCAATATCAGCCAATATGCAGAGATGGGGATAGGTCCATCAAACTTTGTCAGAAGGCGGGATTCTGGAGAACAGTGAGAGTAGCTTCTCCAAGACTGTTCTGTTCTATCATTTCCAAAATTACAGTTTTATACATAAAAGTTCAAAGCAAAGACCACACGCCAACCACTATTCCAAATGATAATCAGCATAATAGTGACTTATTACAGCATTCTAATTCAAAATTAATCTCCTAAAAGGCATCTTAAGTGTAGGAACTAGATTTTACAAAACAATAAGAATGGGAGACAGGAGATGAAGGTCACTTAAGACCAAAACCGGCCAGACCAACTGTGTGTCATGTTTGCCCTAGCCTGAATGACTCCATCTTACTACATGTGCTTTCAAATATCCACATTAAAGTTGAGAAGCATGGATCCCAAACAGTCCTTCTCACAGAGAGGGTGACTTTGCCCCAGGGAACGTTTGGCAAAATAAGACATTCATGGTTGGAGGTTAGGGGTGCTGTTAAATATCCTGTTCTGCAGAGCAGTCCCTCTCCCCCAAAGAATTATTCTGTAAAGATCAGTAGTGTTGCAGTTGGTAAACCCTAGCTTAGATTGTTGGTTCTCAAGCTTCTAAGCATATGGACTCATATTGCGGTTTATTAAAACATAGGTTATGGTTCCCTTCTAGAATTTCGGGTTCAGTAGAATTGGGGTGAGGCCTCAAACTTTGCATTTCTAACAAGTTCCCAGGATAATGATGATACTGCTGGTTTGGGGACCACACTTTTACAACCACTGGCTAGAACATCTTTGAAAGTAAGTGTAAAGGTACTTGAACTAGTTGGGGTATAGTGGTAATACTGTGATAAAACAATTGAACTCCTAGAGTATGTCAGGTGTTGCCAAGCGCTTACGAGACTAGGATGTTTACTTTAAAATCATTTTGCATAGCCCAGCATTGTGGCGGGCGCCTATGGTCCCAGCTACTCGGGAGGCTGAGGAAAGAGAATCGCCTAAGCCCAAGAGCTGGAGGTTGCTGTGAGCTGTGGGGCCACAGCACTCTACTGAGGGCGACAAAGTGAGACTTTGTCTCAAAAACAAAAATAAAATAAAATAAATCATTTTGCAGATTAGAAAAGTTAGACCTGGAAAGATTTGTTTCCTAAACAGCACAGCTCATTTCCTCAACGACAGCTGTTCATCTCAGGTGTGACTGACTCCAAAGCCCGAATTCTTAACCACCAAGCTGACCACCTAACACACTTCTAACATGAGGAACTTTCTGGGTTCTGGGAACCAACCAGTAAACTCCTTGACAAGGCTGTGGGAGCTGGAGAGGAAGGGGCGGGGCCGCGGCTGCGGAAGGGGCGGGCTTACCCAGCAGGAAGTCCGGGCTTGCTGGCTGTGTTGATAAAGGGCCTGTAGCTGGAGTTCCCGGTTGGGTCCTGGTCTGCTCTTTCCCCAGTCTCTTTCTGGGCTCTGCCCCGGCCCGGCACACTTGGGGCGAGGCGGCGGCGACTCTCTGCTCGCCGCCATGCACGACGCTTTCGAGCCAGTACCGATCCTAGAAAAGCTGCCTCTGCAGATCGACTGTCTGGCTGCCTGGGGTGAGCCGAGGGGCCAGGGGAGCAAGGCTGGAGAAGTGGACAGGTGTCGGGTTGCGTGGGCTTTGGTCGGATCCTGCCCGAGTGAGGTTTGGGATGATGAAGGGCAGAGAAATGACCACAGGCTCCACACCGCGCTGTCCGCGAGGCTGCTTGGGGGATCCCCAGGGACCCAGTCATTTTAGGGACGTTCCGCCTGCTCTTGTGCTGTGTGCAGAGTTGGAGGTTGAGTTTTCCTTTTAATTGTGCTCAGCTTTGGTATTTCGATGTCCAGTAAGTCTTCAGTCTAGAGGGCAAAGCAATGGGAATTTCTCAACTTGCCGGGAGCTTGAACTTATTCAGGTGATTTGTGTTTTCTAGATGAAAGACAGCACTGGTTATTGGGCATGAGTAAGTTAACACTATATGCTTTTCCCACTTACTGAGCACTCAACCTTTCACTTCTTATTCCTGTAGGTAACTCACATAGTTACTAACTTCTTCATTAACTAAGTGGGTGAATACCTTATACCCAAGGTGACCAAATTACCTAGCTCTAGGTAGGAGAGCATCATTCCAAACTACCATGAAATCCTATGAAAACTTGTATAGTCCTTTTGGGATTGATTAGTGCAGAAAGCAGAGTCAGGCATCTCTGTGCTCTGGAATACACATGAAGGTCTTAAGAGTCTAAACCTTGACTCTCAACTACAAATGTTCTGCTTTTGCCGTGAAGTGCTTGGCTTGATAGCAGCCCCCAAGGACTACGAAAATAATTTTCAATCTTTCTTGTTAAATTTTAGGGTCTAGAATCAAAGACCATAAAAAAGTAGCTCGGAACTCTTAATCAGATCATATACTGAAATAGGTGCCCATAATGGGCCTCATGGAATCTTGGTGGTGGCTGACACCTTTATGCATTGTATGTTCACAGTGACCCAGGCAGTCATCCTTACAGATTTCTTCATGGCCACTTTAGTAGGTTTCTTTCCCTTCAAATCTCTGTGTTAATGTGCACCCTTCTTCCTTTAGCAGCTCTGGGCCTCTTTAAAATCACACTTCCACTGTAAGCTGTCCTCATCCTTGGGGTTAAGGAGAGAATCCTGTTTCCTTAAGACGTCTCAAGAAAACCTCCACTTCTTGTCATTAAATGCTCTTAAGTAAAAATTAAAAATAAATAGAAGAGAAAAAAAATGTAAAAAGACCTGATATTTTGCCCAGAGGAAATCATTTCCTATTGCTTCATCAACTGTGTTTTAGGTATCCTACATGGGCCATTTTCTCAGCTAGGGAAAGACGAATAAGAGACGATGCCTGAGCTCCTAGACCACATACTGAGAGACAAAGACATATGAACAGATAGTGATACAAGATAAAATGATAGTAGAGACATATGCTGCCCATTATTGCCACATGAAGGAGAGGTACCCAACTCAGCTAAGGACATATGCTTCTTAAAAGGATGAGTGTAGCTGTGGCCATATTGATGACTAGACTTGTCAGAGTCCTTGACTCTGATCCTCTGTGGGGGCATTTGTGCGTATTTCTCTTAGACTCTCACTACCTCCCCTTTGTCACAGTAAAGTTCTCTCATACCTTTGCTTTTCAGAAACACGTTTTTTAAATGGTAGGTAGCTTTTGGCTTACCCACCAAAAAGGAGAAATGCTCTTTGCTTACTAGAGTGCTAGGGTGGATATTGGACTACAAGAGGCCATTTATTGCCTCCTGCTTCAAAAGTACTTTATTTCCAGACTTTAGCTGCAATAATTATTGCTGTTTCTAGTCATTAACCTCTTTCTCTACATTGTGCCCTTAAATGGAAACTATCTTCAGGAAATTTCAGGAGCCAGATCACACAGGGCCAAATAATATCTGAGCTGGCAAGTGTCTTAGAGACAACATAGTCCATCTCTTGGGAAATAGAAGTGAGGAGAACACTGATAATGATTTCTTCCTAAACTCCAAAGTTGTATAATCCTCCTCTCTTTTCACCATCTTTATTTGGATGTCCTGTAGTATAGCCACCACAGTTCTTGATTCTACTTCCCTTAAACATGCCTTTCTCTGTATCCCACATCTCAGCAAGTGGCATTTCTGTTTACTTTTTTGCATAAGGCCAAAACCTTGGTATTGTTCTTTTTTTTTTGAGACAGAATCTCAAGCTGTCGACTTGGGTAGAGTGCCATGATGTCATCATAACTCACAGCAACCTCAGACTTTTGGGCCAAGCGATTCTCCTGCCTCTATTTTTCTGTTTTTACAAGAGATGAGGTCTTGCTCTTGCTCAGGCTAGTCTCAAACTCCAGAGCTCAAGTGATCCACCCACCTTGGCCTCCCAGAGTACTTAGAATCAGTCTTGATTTCTTTCATTCTCTTTTATATTACATCTGATCCAATCTAAAATTGAGTCTTTTTTCTCCATCTCCACTATTATTGCTCTTGATGAAGGCACCATCGTCTCTCTGAATTACTGTAGATCTTCTAACTGATCACCCTTTTACCTTTGTGCCATTTTCAGTTTTTTATATACACAGATTAAAAGAGAGAGGATGAACCTTTGAAAATCTAAATCTGAACACATCTGTCTGCTCAAAACCCTCCAGGGGTATCACACCATAAGTAGAATAAGTTCCAAAGTCCTTACCATGGCTGGCAGCGCCTGACCGGATCAGACCCTGGCTACTTCCTTGACTTCCTCTGGTACATGCAAAACCCTTACTCCTTTTTGGTACCAGTCACACAATCTTCCTTGTTTTGTCAACACACAAAACACATACCTACCTCAGGGCCTTAGCACTTCTGTGTCCTCTGCCTGGCTCTCTCCTGCCCTAGTACTTGTGGCTCATTTCTCATTTCATTCACATCTCTGTTGGACTGTCACCTAAATCAGCAAGACCCTTCCTGTGTCTACCACTGTGCTGTTTTCTTAGGCTTGTCTTTCTTCTGTGGAATGCCACCTGCTGTTACTTTATATATTTACTTATATATAAAATTATCTCTCCCATGCTACGTTAGAATATAAGTTCCCTCAGAACAGGAACTTTGTTTTGTAGACTGCTATATCTCCAGTGCCCAGAACAGCTCCTGGGTATTCATCATTAAATATTTGTTTAGGCTCGGCACCCATAGCACAGTGGTTATGGCATCAGCCGCAAACATCGAGAATGGTGGGTTTGAACCCAGCCCAGGCCTGCTAAACAACAATGACAACTGTAACAAAAAATAGCTGGGCATTGTGGCAGGGACCTATAGTCCCAGCTACTTGGGAGACTGAAGCAAGAGAATCGCTTAAGCCCAAGAGTTTTGAGGTTGCTATGAGCTGTGATGCCACAGCACTCTATTGAGGGCGACAGAGTAAGACTCTGTCTCAAAATAAATAAATACAAATATCTGTTTAATCATAATTTGTTTAATAACATGATATGAATGATAATATGCTTTACAAAATAATAAGAACTCCATTTTATAGAGTAAGAACTCCATTTTATAGAGGAAGAACCTAGGGCTTCAAGAACCTAAGGAATTTTTCCAAGGTCACATTCGGTAAATCTTGTCTGATTCTAGTAACTGGATCCCAAACTTTGACATGTGTTCAGAGCCTGTAAAAAATACAGACTTCATGTGCATATATGAGTGTATCTGCATATGTGGCTATACATACATATTTAAAAAAAAAAAACAATGGAAGGATAAACCAAAAGTTATGAAATGAGACCTGTAGCATAAGGGAGATAACAGGGTAACATGGACAGAGATGGAAGCTAGCCTTCTCTTAGTTTTAGCTTTGGAACTCTGTAAATGTCACATAAAATTAAAAAAAAATTTAAAATGCAGATTTCAAGGTACCACCGCAGAATCATTGAATCAGAATTTCTGCATGCAGGGCCTTCTGTCCATTTTTAGTAAGTCCAGGTGATACTAATGCAGTGAATGAGGGATTATGTTTTGAGAAACACTGTTCTTAGCCATTTGATCCAAAGATAGCAGGTGACCGCCACCCTATTTGTTGATCTCTGTGTTCCCTGCAGTGGCCGGCCTTGGGCCAGGAGTGGAGCTATTCGTTACTGAGGTTGGACTGTGGTGCACTGTTGGATGGAGCTTTGTTAGGGTAATTATGAGCAGTAGGGCCTGGCTGTACCCACTTCCCAGGAGGGGTCAAATCCAACCTTGTGACTCAGCCTTAGACTGTCAGGAGTTCTGAGGGCTGGCTCTGCTTTGTCTGTGTAGTGTGTTCCGCTCTGCCCTGCATAGTACATTAGGTCTCCGAAGGAACTGACCATCCCAGGTTGTGCCTGCTCTGCGGGCTTGTCATTCTTTGTGTTGGACGTGAACGGCCGTGTTAAATGGTAATGTACCCTAGAGAGTGGTCGGGTCCCTTGGCTACCTGAGCCCCCACTGTAACCAAATCAAACCTCTTCAAGGCTTGGTGCCCTGAGCACTGGAAGATGTACTGTTTGTCCTCACAAGTTTGAGGATTAGGAGTGTGGGTGGGGTGCTTTTAATATTTAAAAGGAAGTTGTTACAAATAGTTTGCATATATGATGAATGTGTTTCTCCTCATTATCTCCAAATGAAGCTTTTAGAAGGGTC